ACCCTGCAGCTCACAACTGGCAACCCACTGAAGCTAAGCAGGTATGAGCCTGGTCAGTATCTGGATGGGACACCTCCTGGGAAAAATTAAGGTTAATGCTGATGGAAGAGGTGCTAGTGGGGCCAGCAAGGGGTACTCACCCTATGGTCTATGTGGGTCCTAAAGCCATAGTATGGTGATGCTGACACTATACTGTAAAAAGGCACTGTGCTTTGGATGAGATGTAAAACCAAGGTCCTGAGTCTCTGTGGTCATTAAAAAACTCAGGGCATTTCTCGAAAAGAGTAGGGGTGTTAGCCTAGTGTCCTGGCCAAATTTCCCTTTTCTCATTGGCCCTTACCAATCATGGCCTTCTAATAATCCCCATCTATGAATTGGCTTCATTACTCTGTTCTCATCCCCAGTAATTGCTGATGTGTGGTGAGCGTTCTGGTGCTCTGTGGCTGCTGTTGCATCATCCAGGTGGGTGCTTCACATTGGTGGTGGTGGAAGGGAGTCCCCATTACCTTTAAAGCGCTTTGAGTGGAGTTTCCAGAAGAAGAAGAAGCTGTTCAAATACTGGAAGATTCTGTTTTTAATAGAAGGAGCGGTATTGTCTCCCTGAGGTGGTAACCAGGGTGGGAGGGGTCATCAGTAATCTTTTCTGACCACTTCTTTGCTCAGGAATTATACAAATTCCAATAACCCTCTCTGGAGAGAAAAACACCACTACACCACTTTGGAGTGGAAAGACACATTTCCAAACCAAACAGTTACAGAGGCTCTCTATAATGGCTCTGTAAAATTGAATCAGAATTTGTTGAGAGACACTAACAGAAAGTACATTTTCTACTGTGCTTTCTTTGTGATACTAGTGATATTAATGTCCCATTAAAGAGTATTAGAGAGTATTAGAGATAATAATTCCAAAAAAAGACTCCACCATGCGTACAGTCACTTTATTGATTAGCAGGGAGAAAGGTTTTGGGTATTAAGCCCTAGATGGTTGTTAGCACACCATGATACCAACTGACTCACTTCCCTCCTGTCCATGGTCTCATCATTAGTGATGCAACCTAGAATACAGGATGATCTCATCCACAAACCTAATTAGTTTGATGGAAGAGCCCCTGGAGGTGTAGTCATTGGTGTAAAAGGAATAGAGTAATGGGGAAAGCACACATTCTTTAGGAACACCAGTATTCATAAACAGACAGTCTAACAAATAAGGGTCTAGCTAAACCTGTTGCCTTCTCATTATGAGAAAGTTGAAAATTACTGGCAATTGAAAGAATATTCAACTGTTACAATTTATTGTAAAGGACTTTAGGGATGGTAGTCTTAAACACAGACCTAAAATCCACAAAAATAATTTTTGCATATGCACCTGAGGATGTTACAACATGTGGTGAAGACCCATGTTAACAGCATCATCTACTGACCTCTACTGGTCCTCTATGCAAAATGTAGAGGATCAAGATGTGATTCTGTAATAGTTTTGAGATAAAGTTCTATAGTGTACATTCTTCATTATGATAGAGGTAAGAACAACTGGTCTTTAGTCAGTAAGACAAGCTATTTTGTCCTTCTGTGGTACAGGAACAATAATGGAGGTTGTTAAGCATGCAATCCAGAGACTGATTACATATTTCAGTGAACACCGAGGATAACTGCTTTGCACAATGCTTAAATGTACTGTAGCAGTGGAGACATATTCTTCACATATTTGAAAGGTCAGGTCCAGCAGCTTTCCTGCTGTTCTGCCTTGCAAAGAGGTTTTAAACTTCCTGTTCTTTGATAATTTGAGGAGGCTGAAGAGGAGAGAAGCAAATTAAGGATGACATTTAGCTCTTCTGTAGTTCTCACTGCCTCTCACTGCTCTTAGCATAAACCATGGCTCATCTGTATCTATTGGAATACAAAGATCTCGAAATTCTTAAATTTCACATTTCCTGAAAAAAGCCAGGCATCGAGCACATGCTTAGATAGCACATTCCATACTACCCCAACCTTCTGGATAAAGACTTACCTCCTATTTTTGGTTTTAAATGCACTTCTGTGTAGTACCCACTTGTGTTTTCAGATTCATGTTTCACTGTTCATTTTGAAGATTTCTGCTTCATTGACTTTGTCAGTGTCTTTGTGGCTTTTTAATAGATTATTTTCTTTCTGCCTGTCCATTTAGGACATTCTTTGAAATCATAGAATGTATCTGGTTGCTCTTTTCCTTACTGATTCCAAAGCAGCAAATACATTTTTGTAATATGCTTATGAAAATTGTATATAATATTCTAAATGAGGCTTAATTAGAGCATCATACAATTTTAACAGAATGCCCCTTAATCAAATACTTAAGTTTTGACTATATAGCCTAACATTTTGCTTTAAAAGATAAGATTATTACAGACATAGTCACTAGTTTAACAATGCTTTTTAATGCAGTCTTTAATTATGCTTCAACTGACTAGGATAGCAGGGTACATCTTGAATGAGATTCCACAGGAAACACACATGCTCATACCAGGGCAATTAAATTTATTTAATTAGCAAAAGCAAAGTCCCTAAGCCAATCAATAGACTCTAGTGTAGGTGTGTTGAGGGTGTGCAGTCCTCCACTAAGTACATAGATTTGGGCAGATGGTTTGCTCAATCCCACGAGGACAAAAAAGGCTTGCACTGATTTCCTATCTATGAACTATGACCAGTCCTAAAATGGTTTGAAATGGACCACTCTTTTCTTAGGACATGAAAGCCAGGCGGTTGTTGTGTAGTACATGTTTGTTTGTTTGTTTGTTTGTTTGTTTGTTTGTTTGTTTGTTTGTTTGTTTGTTTGTTTGTTTGTTAAATCCAGTGATTCCCATTCTTGAGCCCAAGTGGATTGAAGTCTTCCTGAGGAGGGTTGGCTTTCTTGAAAGCAGATGTGTCTTTGTTGAATGAAATACAGTACAGTATATGTCCTTGTGTAGTGGAACATACAAATTGCGCCCCCTGTCAGTACCCAGGTACTGTATGCCTGAAGAAGCTCCTGATCCAACTAGTAGAAAACAAAATTCCAAAAGAAGCTTCAGAAAAGACACCTTACAGGATCCTAGTCCAATCCCAAAACCATGAAGTAACCAATTAACCTACCAGACTGTAGCTCCACAGGCACTGAACCCAGAGCACAACCACTGAGAGGCAGCAATGCTAAGCCCTGTGCACCACGTCAACCAGAACATATACTGTATAATTTTTGTTGTGAAAATGGAGTTCCTGCATAAAGACAGATGGTGTCAGACCTCCACTGTGTTCACACAGCTCAAATTGTGTCTGTCTTGGGAACTAATGCAACAATACAATTAAAACTTGAAAACTCATCACACCCGATGAAAAGCAAACGCTGCCTTTGATTTGCACTTCTCAAGTTAAGATAATTTTTCTGCCCACTTTGCATTGACTTCTTGATGAAATGTAGTCTATTATGCAAACTGCTGCTGTTTAACATTTTTTACATTTTGTATTTTTACTATTATTATTAATACTAATAATTGAAACCAGAGGTATCAAAAACAGCCAGGCGGTCACATTTCAATTTCAATTGAACTAATATGGCCAATATGGAGACTCACTGTGTTGAGGCTTTGCTTTCCTGTTTTATCTTATTGTAGCTGGTGTTCTTTCTTATTTAAATTATTTAAATTGACATATATTTTTGTTTAAGATAAAAAGCTCAAGAAGAGGTAAAAAGAACAAAGGGAGTATACAGTTATCCTGGACAATCTTATGCAAATAAGCCATTATGCATTACCTCTGATGAAAACTGACCTTTTATTACTAAATTGGCCCTTTTGACCAATTTCACATCCTAATGATCTCATAGCTGGCTGTTTTTATGTGACAAACATTTTGTTCTAAATAATATTATTTACGAAACAAGGTCAATAAGAAAAGTGATCTACAGTATATAACAATGATTTGTTTCCTCGGGGCTGAAGATGTTTCCTTTTATTACTTGGAATACCTGCTGTAAATACATTACACAAATAAGGAAACAGAAAAAAATGTCCAAATAGAAAAAAACATTTAGGAGCTCATGATTACATTTGTTATATCCATTTGGCCATCCAATTTCTAACCGCATCTTCCAATTCAGGGTCATCGCGGAGCATCTGGCCGGCAAGCAATGGGCACGAAGCAGGGCACACGCCAGTCCTAGAAGTCAATTAACATGCCATTATGTTTTTGGACTCTGAACAAGGGAAGAACGTACAATCTCCATGCAGATAGTACCCTGGGTCCAAAATTGAACTTTAGGGCCCCAGCACTATGAGGTACTGTAGCAATGCTAACAACTGCTCCACCATGCCACCCAAATTTGTAATATGGCCATCTTAAATTCGTATCTGTGTTTTATTCCTGGAGTTAACAATTGTAAAGAACGTTAAAGAACAATAAAAATTCCTTTTATGTAGGATTTGAGAGGCACAAAACTTTTTTTTTTGGCTTAAACCATGGTGAGTTATTGAACACATTATAATCTTGTGTTGTTTGTTTATTGTTTTTAAAACGTGAGATAAATAACGTACTGTACGTACATCATTATGCGTTTCTATCCCCTATTGATCTATCCCATTTCCAGTTTTAAAACTGGTCACGTTAAATGTAATAATGTAATGTTAAGAAAGTCTATGACACGTAAATACAATACAACTACAAATGAGCTAAAGTCAGATGCATACTTATGAAGCATACTGTACATGCCTTACTTTTCAAAGTCACGTACACATACATTTCGAACGAGAACCTCGACTCAAACAAAACATGCTTTGGCTACTGGAATAATAAGACCGGCGTACTGTACATCATCAGTGCGCATTTTCTTGGTGTCCCCGTTAAGATGTGATCCGAGGCGACGGGAATTAAACCCTCCTCCAGGGGCAATTTCTGCTGCCAGCCAGCACCAATCTGAGAGGGGGAAAAGGAGGGGGAGGAGGGCGATTGTGGAGGAGGCTGGGTTTTCCATATTAACAGCCCCCTTCCCACTCTGATTTCTGCCAAACACTTCAAAATCTACCGGACAAATCACAATTGCAGACAAAATTAGTGGGATACATTCAAGGCACACACAGCCAAGCAGTCATACGCTTAGAAGCAGGAGTGCCTACAGATACAGAGTGAGAAAGAAGAAAACTATTGTTTTCTGGTGAGGATTTATATTTATATGTGTTTGTGGTTGCTTCGTTGCCATGGAGCTTGATGCTAATTTGTAGTGGAATGCTGTGTGAATAGAATTGATAAGGAACGATTCTTCATTTATTGGTAAGACAGGTATTTTTCTTACAAGAGGTATGGTGTCAATATAATGCACGTCGCTGTTTAATTCACTGGCAACGGTATGATTTCTGTTATTAGTATGACAGGCACGTTACTGTTAGCAGGTTTAACAGGTCTCCTCAAATTATGGTAATAAAGGGATGTGCAGTATTTCGGGAACGCGTTATTTTAAAAGTATGTACAGGTAGACCTACATGTGAATAAATTGCCATGTAAAAGTGGACAAAATACATTTAAAAATTCTGACTACACGAGGTTTTAATAAATGAGGGATTAATTTGCGTTGTGCCTAACATAACAGTAGTAATGATAAACGTGTATTTTTAACAGTTGTTTAAGACATTGTGTATCCGTCGTTAGTAGCGCGACACGGCGTTTCCATTTGATCGTCTGACTGCTTCAAGTGTAACGGGAAATTTCGTTGTTATTATTTGTTTTGCTTTGTTGGTTGGAAGAAAGAAGGGACTTTATACCGACGTATGGGTCAAAACGGTGGATTGTTGGTGAAATGCGCAAAGATATCTCTGGTAAATAAATGCAAGTCAATGTTGCAGTGGATAACCTTGACTAAAACAAGGGGGGAAAGTGGATCATCCCATTAAAGAATCATAGGAGCATGTTTAGTTAAATATTTTTAAAAGTTATTATCTGAGCCACTGTTGTATAATTAGTCTCAAATCTTGAAAATAATATTTTTTAGAAAGATAAATCACGCTTTTGCGGTGACGCACAGTGTTTCTATATTAAATGTGTTTTAAAACAACAATTTATGCATATTATTTCAAAGCCTTTATTTAAAGATGTTAACAATTTGTCATCAACTAACGATCTGCCACAGTGCAGAAATAAAGAATGACATTGGGAATACGCCTTTATGTACCTTTTACTTGTAAAGTGCGTAGCCAACCTACAGAATCAATTTTGTCCTACTCGGAATGTAAACCTGAATTTAATGGTTTTTAGTGAAAAAATAATAAAATTCCAAGATAAAATCGTTGAAGCCACACAGAAAAGTGTATTATATTGGTCTGTAAGAACCTCACATCTGTTTTAAAAACATCCTGACGGTAATTTATTACGTTTATAACTTTATTATATGTTCGTTCAAGTTATTCTACAACTGTTTACAGTATGTGACATACTTTAATTATATTAACTTAAAAACATCTGGGGAAGTACAATAAAGTAGGGATTGAGCATATAATTAATAATAATAATAATAATAATAATAATAATAATAATAATAATAATTGCTTAACACTTATACAGTATAGTGCTTTTCTGGACACTCCATTTAAAACGCTTTACAGGTAATGGGGACTCCCCTCCACCACCACCAATGTGAAGCACCTACCTGGATGATGCAACAGCAGCCATAGAGCCCCAGAATGCTCACTACACATCAGCTATTAGTGGGGAGGAGAACAGAGTAATGAAGCTAATTCATTGATTGGGATTAATAGGACGCCATGATTGGTAAAGGCCAATGGGAAATTTGGCCAGGACACCAGGGTTACACCCCTACTCTTTACAAGAAATGTCCTGGCATTTTTAATGACCACAGAGTGTCAGGACTTTGGTTTTACATCTCATTCGAAGGACAGCACCTGCCTTTTTACAGTACAGTGTCGCAATTTCTATACTGGGGCATTGGGACCCACATAGACCACAGGGTTAGCGCCCCCTGCTGGCCCCACTAACACCTCTTCCATCAGCAACCTTAGCTGTTCCCAGGTCTCAAATCCAAGTACTGACCAGGCTCATTTCTGCTTACCTTAAGTTAGTTACTAGTTGTGAGTTGCAGGGTGATATGGCTCCCTTAAGCATTTATTTATGCTTTTCAAGAAGCATGTGCGTCTACATCAATAATTAATGTTCAAAAGAAATTGGTTCATATTGTAAGGTTGACAGTTGTGACAGATGCAAATAAAATAAAAAAATGATTTAAAAAAATTCTGAAGCCACCAAAGCTTAACTGTAGTAAAAACAATTTGTTGCTTCAATAACAAAATGCGTTTTTCTATACATTTTCAAAACCCTGCTTAATATTTCTAGTTATTTAAATAGCTTTAAAAATATGGTCTATGTTTCTATGCTCTCAGAAAATGAACTCCCTTAAATTCATTCAGAGATAAGAAAAATGAAATATTTATGCCCGTTTACAATTAAACAAAAGTAATTGTGAAACATGTGTGAACATTCAAACTGTGTTAATCTGCTTATAATATTGCCTATACACACTAGTTTCGATCAGTTGTATCACTTGTTTGATGTGTATCAATGCTATGTGAATAGTGTGACATGAAGTGTAGTTTTTCTTAGGCTCATAGCTGTCTGATGGGCTCCCTGCCATGGGTTAAGAAATGGAAATCCTTACTATTCCCCAGGGAGCTACTTTAGCAAAGATAAAAAGTTGTAGTGGTTGCAGTAAAGAAGCATTTTGAAAAGCCTCAAAAAGCATAAAACAATTGTTGAGCATTTCAAGAGGACAGAGGAGTGATGTGTTGTTTCCTGTGCAAGAAAGACAGAAATAGTCAAATCATTGAATTCAAATCTTTGTCCTGTATTTTCTAAAGATCAGCATAATGACTTCCATTTTTTCTGTTAAAAAGCATTAAAAAAACACCAAGGTGGAAACATATTACATTTACAGATCAATTTAAAAATTAAATACTCATGTTTTTTGTAACTTAATGTAACTTTTTTTTGTAACTTTAATGATTCCAACTGAGTTATTGGACTTAGTCATGTCTAATCAGCAGCTCCTCCCTAATGTTTACATCCTAATCCAAACAATAGACAATGGATCGCAAAGGTCTGTGTCATATACTGTACAAATCCATATCTGCCTGTAGTTTGACAAAACATCCAATTCTATCTTAATAAATTTTGATTACCCAAACATACATTGTGCAAAAGAAACCTATTATAAAAATATTTTTAATAATTAGAGACTACAGTAAACATGTATCTACATTTAAGGAACCATCCTAAGGTTACTTTCTTCTATGGCTTATCTCTAAACTTGTTTCCTGTTCTACAAAATGTCATTTATTTTCACTTAGCAGTTTTCTGTCCTAAACAAAATATGTTTTTTCTTGAATGAATGTGTATCAGCCTTATTATTTTACCAAAATTCTTTTTCTTTTACTTGATGATTGATACAATTTTGTATGTGAAAGTGAGCTTTACATCTAAGGTTAATAACTGGCACTTAATGGCATCTAAACAATATTACGTCCAGACTTTTATGGGTGTAACAGTCTGATAGAACTGATCGTTTTTTGATTATATGACAATTATTATGCAGAATTCTTTGTATAATAATGCATTTATATTGCACTTCTCACCCAGAAATATCCCAAAGCACTTTACATCTAATGTAGGAAAGGACACAATTCATGCACCACCCGAGTTAGGTGTGACAGCTACAGTGTGCCAGCAGCCTCTCTACTGTACATAGCCATTGAAGTGAAAAGGGAGAAATTACAGTACATCACCAATTTAATAAAGGACATTTTTAGGTAGTAAATATTGTACAAGCTGAGAGTGGAATTCAGACGCCTACCCTTGTGAGATCTGTAATGACTTTGTGGCCAGAACACTGGTTTGGCATCTCATCTGAATGACAAAAACTCCCCAATCACCACCCTAGTGTATTATTTGTTTAAAAAAATTATCATGATCCAGAGGGAAGACTGCCACCCGCGGGTCCACCAACAGCAATTACCTCAGTACCCTGGCTTTCCCTAAAGACCTTCCATCTCGTTGGTGAAGACTCCCAGTCATGGTGGGATTCTGAGAACAGATTTGGAGGCTTAGAATGTGGTTATGCTATTGCCATTTCAGTTGTATATACACTGTACAGTATGTATAAGAGGACAAAATTGTGATAATAAGAAAAGTTACATTTCATCTCCTCTAGCATATTGTTCTTGTTTGGTTGTGAGGAGCTTGCTGTTCAGAAATTCTCATCAAGCAGTTTCCAGAAAGAACTCACTAAGCTTGTTTCATCAGCATTGCTCAGCAATTCCACATATCCCCAATGCAGTTGTTAAAATCTACAGGTTCTTTACTTCCAGACCTTAACTGATTACATTTTGGCTGAGGGTTAGCGTACCATTGTTTGTTTATAAAGTACAAACTTTCTCTTTGTAGATACGTAAGGTGGTGCAGTAGTTAATATTTCAGGTGGGTAGCTGTATCAGCATGCATAGGCTGCAAAGGAGCAAGAAACAGATTTGACACCTGAAGTCACACCTGAAAAAGAAGAAAGAAAACACAACGTTTCAGAAGTGGAGCGCTCTTCAGGTGTGAAGTCTCACACCTGAAGAATAAACCTGGAATAAACCTATTACTTGTTCCATTGCAGTAGTTAATATTGCTGTACTTGCAGGCCTGGAACCCAGAGGTGCCATCTGCATGCACTTTGTATGTTCTTCCCATGTTCATGTGGGTTTCCACCTGGTGCTCTGGTTTTCTCCCACAGTCCAAAGACGTACTGGTACAGTAGGTGAACTAGCAGAGTGTATCCTGCCATGCGACTGTTACTTGCTGGGAAAGTAATACAGGGTCTGGCTCCCCAATGACCCTGTATTGGATAAAGTGATTAGAAAATGGATGGATGGTTAAATTTGGTAAATATTGACCTTCTTGCAAAGAATGCTTGAAAAGGTTCCTCCCTCCCCCTCATCTTTATAGTTTCTAATTCCTTGTACAATTCAGTAATAAACAAGGTTGTCATTATAAATTAAAATGTATTCTTAATTGGCTTATCTGGTTAAATAATTTGAATTATTTCCATTGTGTGATTATCACTTGACATAATAGTAGTGACCGCAAACCTCACCAGGAAAAGTGGAGTGAAGA